GTTCTTTGAAAAACAAAAATTTTCGTATTTTAAGCAGTTTTTTGTTTTGCTTTTGTTTCTTTTTTCTTTTTTATATTGATGTAATATGTGCACATTTTACTGTCTTGTTAACTGATGCATTATATCAGTTTCCTTCGACGAGTACGTAATAATAATAATATTAATAATAATAATAATAATAATAATATAATAATAATAAGAGTAGGAAATTTGAATCTTTGACAAAAAAAAAAAAGAAGTTCTCTTTAGTGTTTCATAACAGTAAGTTTTATTTCAAACATTTAGTGATTTTAATAAAAAAAAAAAACTAAATTTTTCTGGAACTCAAAAGAGGAAAGTGTTAACTACAGATTTAATTGATGTCGAGTGAAATTTTCACAAAAAAAGAGGTATAACAGTGTGTTAAAAAAATTTCTTCAAAAGTAGTGGACAGCAGTGAAGCAGCGAAATCGTTTCGTCGAAAAAATGAAATCGTATGGATTGTATTGGGATCTGTTCAGTATTTTGCTGATACACCAACACCAAATGGCAAAATTAAGGATGCAACTAATTTGCAGGTTGCTTCTCGTAGCAACTGTGATAACATTTATAACTACAAACTTTTTTAATTTGAAAATAAACCAAAAAAAAGAAATAAATGACGATTAAATGGTAAATATGCGTATAATCTATGGCTTTAGATTAGTTTTAAATAGAACTATGTAAACGTATACAGAGTCTTTTAGCTTGAATTATTGACTATGCAAACAGAGGTATTTTAGTAAAATTATAGAAAAAAAAACTTTTTTTTTTAAATTTCAGTATGGGCAAAAAAAAGCAAATAAGGAATAAAACAAGACTAAAGAAATAAAGTTAATAGTGTTAAATTATCCGGTTGAGTTGGTCGATTTCTGGTCATTTGGGTTTTCAAAAAGCAATAAAACAACCGATGCATTTTGATTTTATACCCTTCCAAAAATGGACAATCCAACATAAACTTTCTGTACAGTAGAAAAAAAATTTTTTTTCTTTATTTTAGAAAGGAAAAGGTTTTTTTTTTCATTTTATCTGTTTATTTTTTGTTCTATTTCACCGTGGTGATCGTTATTAAACTTTTATTGCTTTATTTCCCTCATTTACAATTAAACATTTACTGATCATATTGCAAGGTTTCAACACTTTTCTCTCACTTTTCTTGACTGTTCAAACTTCTTTTGGCTGAGCATTTACATTGTCAAAAAAAAACTGATTATGATTAGCCGAACATTAACGAATACAAATCTGTATATAATTAAAGTGACGGTCAGACTCTATGATTTCCTGATCCAATTAGTTACTGTAGTCAATTTCCTAGGAATTATTATAATGATTCAATGGCGTAACAGTTTGGAAGAAAAAATTGAGCAAAGCCAAAGAATATTTGATGCTGAAAATTTTTTTCAACATAAGTCTCATTCGTTTTTCTTTTTTTTTCAATTTTAGTGTCTTAGATTAGTGTAATTAAAGCATAGGAAAATAATTGTTTAGCAGCAGTAGATTCTCAGCCAATTGCTGTTTTTTTTCCTATGCCTTGAAATTGCTGGACTTGGAAAGTTACCGTACTGCTGTTGTTATTCAGTGATAAACCAGTTTAAGTTTCTAAACAAATATATACCTGTAGCGACAAAAAATATTTTGTATCGCTGAACAATGATGACGCCTGTCGACGTTGACCGACTTATAGTGGTTGCAAAAGATTATGAGCTGAAAATAAAACTTTTAAAAAGGTGGTAAAAAGGACAAAAAGAAGAAAGAAAGAGAAAAAAAAAAAAAGAGAGCAATTATTTCTTAACTTTTTTTTTTTCTGACCTACCTCCTTTTTTGTTCAAATAAATAACACTTCTGTTACTTGTTGTGTTGTTTAACAACCAAAATAGGAAAGAGGATAAAGCAAAAAGAAAAAAGCATACATAGACGGATTGTATCGCAGAATAACTTTCAATAATATTTTTTCGTTTTTTTTTTTTTTTTTTAACTAGAAAAAAAAGTCTCATATTACATAAATTGCCGGTTTGAAGTGGTGCTAATGCTGACGGTAATTTTGATGACGGCGGTAGCTGATGTGTTTAGCAGTTATTGCTGCTGATTTTGGTAAGTGTTCTTTGTAGTGGATTGCGTTTCTTTTCAAATATAGGCTTAAGAACTTGAAAAACTGATTACCGATTTCTTTGTAATATTCAAGAAGATAATTACCATTACACTTCAACGTTAATAAATAGCAGTGGTGGCAAAAAAAAAAAAAAAAAATGTCACTTAACAAGTGGTTATTTTCGGCATGTGGAAAAAAAAAAAAAAGAAAAAACTACCTATATATATATGCTTCTTTTATACGTCCATCACTTTCTTCGTCTTTACTACAGTGACACAATGTCTCAAAGTATTTCATGTTTGTCAAAGTTGTTAAACAGTTCACACGACTAACCGAACACTTCAAATATGCATTAAGTGCCAAGCAACAAGTCTAATCCGTTTTTTTTTTT